AATGTTTCTCGGTATGCCTTCTTTATGCATACAATTTGGATACTGGTGTTATGATAAAATTTACACATGCAATGCAAGCTCTATATGCATTTGGCTTTTGAAAATTACATGTACTTGCTTAGATCATCAATCAATGGTTCTTGAATCCAACACAATCATTATTGTATATAACTGAACATGAAGACCAAAAGAAAATATCATACCAGGATCTCATATGCCAATGACCTTCCCTATTGGGCTTGCTCGACGGAGGAATCTCAAGAAATTCTCCAATGCAAGGTTAGAACAAATGTAAATGTGTACATATGCTTATAAAAACTTGAGATTACAAATGTATATAACCTATACTTTTGCCGAGATCTATCACGTGAACTTGTGACCATAGGCATTGATCCGTATTGGGCTGTTGTTGCTGTCCACCTTGGACGCACCTAACATAGAAGTTCTATCACTTGGTAATATAATAGAGCCCGCCTTGAAGCCCTTGAGAGTTGAGGCAGTAGGCCGCACCCGCTGGCTGAGTAAAAAGGAACCCCAACCTCTGGCTTCAACTTATATATCAGCAGTAATAGTACATGGTCAACCAAAATATTAGCATTAAAATTGAAATAAAAACTCTGAAATATTCCATGGTTTTCAGTCGTTGTTAATTCAATAAACTGACTAATCAAACTTTCTTAGTCATTCCTTTGTCAAAACTATGGGTGGTAATCTATTTTGACTAATCAAATTGGCTTTTATTGATCAAGCACGCACATGTAAATAAAACCTGCATAACCAGTGGCTCAACCAAAACTTATTATATGCAAAACAAAGGCCTGCAAAAAAAAAAAAAATGCCATCAACCTAATCATAGATGATATGTAATTATAATAAGTATAATCTGGAAAACTGTTCGAATTCAAAGCAACCATCACCATTATTTAAATTTTATACTTCAATCCATGTTTGGATCCCACTGCAAAATAATTACATATTAGCACGATATACATACATATATATATATATGTGTGTGTGTGTGTGCGTGCGTGCGTGCGTGCGTGTGTGTGTGTGTGTATGCTTCTCCAAATTCCAATATGATTATACAATTGAAACACGTTTATAGCTATTTCTGATAAAATTTTCCAGATTCGTGCCATAAGATTAGTTAGTAAGAAATAATCTTGATACCATGAACACACAATCGTAAGCCCCGTCGGCCTTTGCTCTTTAACCGACATCCATCTGATTTTTAATATTTAACAAACACTTGAATTTAGGATCAAAGGGAAACTGATCATAGAATATGTCTGAACATATCATACTAGTACGCCAAGGATATGGAATCACACTGAATTTAAGACCAAAATTCAGTTTATGTATTTTGTAAAATGACTCTATGTATCGTCGAACTTAATAGGTTTTAATTATATAATCAGAGGCTCTGATACTAACTATTAGCCTCAATTAAAACACAAACGAAGGAGTGCCTAACCTGATTCCAACGGCGGCCATGGAAGTCGAACACAAAAGTAGCAGCACATGGCAACACCAAGATCTTCTATAAACTCCTAGCCGAATACAACTACTCTATGAGAAGCATTATGTTGTGTGTTCTAGGGCTTATAGGGACCGTTGTTTTTTATATATAGGCTAAAAGCTAGGGTTTCCATCCATAAAGGAAACCTAAACTTTACTTTCTTAGCCTCCAAGTCAAGTATCATAATCATATTCAATAAAGGATTCCATCAATCCTATTTCCAATATAATACACCTTATATAGGATTGATATCTTTAAGAGATCAAATCACAATCAACATTATTCTCCAATATTACATTCCTATTACATGTAGTAGACCACTTAATGGTTGATTTATATTGGATAAATCCAACATTAGATTGATGTATGTCTTGGGAATTTCAGGTTTTTCTCATTTTTTTTATGCTATCACAAGATCTGTATTTACAGTTGCTATTCTGTTTTGTTACGGTTATATATACATGATGCGATGTGCTTATATAAAATTCTCATATCAAATAAGAAAGTGACTTCAAATGTGTAGTTCGTTTGAGTCCAATCTTTTTCGTGTGAATATTAATAATGAGTGGCTACTAAAAACAATGTCATCAAATTGTTTGAATTAAGCTGTGAATTTTGTTAAGTGTAGTCAAACTGCAACTCAAAATGAATGTTATTTTGCTTCTGTAATATGACTCTCTTCATTTGCTTTTATAATCTACTTCTGCAATATGACCATCTGCTAATTTGCTTCTGCGAATGTTCTTTGCTTTCTCTGCAAACTCTCTATCTCTTTCTCCAACGGAAGAAAATTATTGAATGCACACAGTGAATTGAAAGAGTTTTGGTGTTTGGATTGGTTTAAAATGTTTGTTGTGAGTTGTAATGGTGTTTAAATTAAGCTGTCAATTTTGTTAGGTGTAATGAAACTGCAACTCGGAATGAACGTTATTTTGCAACATTGGTCTTCCTGAATTACAAAGCTCGGTTATGCATTTTTCGTGCTGGCAAACCAGATTTTGTGCACATCTGGATACGCATTAGTTCAGCTGTGGTTTATTATTGACTATCTGCTCCTCATGATTAAATTTCTATGGTTTTGGAGTTCATGTCCTCGACGAATCACGCGTTGTGCTATCAATACACTTATTCACAATAGTTTTAATGCATTTGACATGCTTGCTTAATAAGATGGATCGATCTTGCTTAATAATGAATCACGCGGTTATTTTCTTATAACACGAGCTAACAAGTCTTTCTTTTTATCTCTCGAGTTGTTAACTGTATTGCTATGTTATTGTCGTAGACTAATATGATAAAATTTTTTGTGGTTTAAGCTTTCTGTATAGACTGTTTGTAAATTTAGAAAATTTGTATTTGATTTGGATAGGTTAAATGGAAAACGAAGGTCCAACTCCCCTTGATAAATTGGTGGCATATAAAAAAGTTGCCAAAATTAAAGTACGTGTCTGTAGAATATGGATACCGAAATTTCCAAGCATGGGTGATAAACCACGGGCCTCTATTGTACATTGATTGATGAAAAGATCAATGATCATTTTGTTTATAAAATTGAGTTACAAATATTTCATGTTCCGTGTTAATAATTACTTATTTATTTTAATACACATAAGATAGTTTTTTGTGCTATGTGTAATAAAGATTCGATCCAATTTATTTCTAAACTTTATATTCTTCGGTTTTATGTTGTCAAGTAATATATCAATTTTTATGCTTACTCTCTGCAGTACATAGTTTTTTTTTTTTACGCGCATTCTTCTCCTTTAAACTGTTAGTTACGACAGTTAATTGACTTTTGCTATTGACTATCCATATTCCTATTTAATATTTGTCTTCTACGTCTATTTGCATGTTATTTTGAGTGTAAAATTTAGTGCTGTATACTTATTTGCAGTGTTTTTAATAATTTTTTTTTCTTATTTTTCTGACTCTTTGATTGTCAAACAAAAAGCTATTGAGGTGTCTCCTGATGAAATGGACTATGAAATAATAATCCCAAAAATTGAAGCGGTCACTTGCTATGAAATTATAAATTTTCGGACTAACAAGACAAGAGGTTAGTATAGAGTTGTCCCACATGATACCTACATCGAATTTACTTCTAAAACAAATTTTACGAAGTTGCACAGATTCTCCTTGCAAGATTATAATAGGTTGTACCCTTGAAATCCTGACAGGTGATAATATACATGTTAAAATACCTGCTATACAGATCACATTTACAAAAACACATGCTATTTCCATAATAAAAATGTTACACAGGCTATTTTCAATGCACCAAAGTTAATTTTCATATTGCTCTTTGTTGTGGTACACATCGTCTCAAATCTATAAAACTGTCTTACACTCTATAAGTTACGGTTTGCATTTTTTTTTATTTTTTTCACATGCGTGTAAATCTGTTTGAAACGTGTACTAATCCATTGTTTTGTCCTTTTTCTGTCTTCACTTTTATTTAATACACATAGAACATCATTTTGAACCATACTGGTTCAATGCTTTTCTTTATAGATCCAGACATTACGGAATTAAATTCATACAAATCAGTGTGCGTCCATTCTGTCCTCAGAATCAAAATCATGATATGGTTAAAAAAAAAAAAAAAACTATTTGACTAACGTTCAATGTGAACTATTACAAGTTTTCAGCTTGGCCTCACCCTATTAGAATGCTCCCTCCTTCCAATCAGGCAAATGAGGCAGACATTGTACAAACTGGAAAGAAGGTGACAATCGAGGAATTAGGTTCTTTGCATCCTGACTTAAATAAGGTATATGCAATAGTTGGATTTTATTGCATCGAACCAAAACTGTTTGAGCTCTTTTTAGCTTCTTTAATCAAACTTATTTATTTAACGATTGTAGTGGGTGCAAATATAAATTTTAAAACATTTTGCAGAATGATACGTTTTTGTGCAAAGTGTCAATCAAGCGGTATAACACAAGGTATGAATGGTGGTACACCGCTTATCCTAGATGTGCAAAACAAATGTACAAGAATCCAACCAATGGTCAGCTAATTTGCCAAAAGCATCCAAATTAAATTCCGACTCCTTGGTAATAACTCTAACACAATATTTCAATTCCATCGATTAATTGTTGTCTCACGCCATTTTTGCATTAAGATTTGTTGCTCATTTAATATTTTCATTTTTGAGAAAGTATTAGTAACTCTTAATTAATAATTGCTGACTGTTTAGATAAATACTATCAAACTTTGGACAATGAAAGTAAAAATTTGTATAATAAAAAAAATTATCGTTTTTAATGATCCAACTACAAAACAAAGTATAGATTCATTCAAATTTGAAAAACAGTTTCATGCAGCCATAATTTTTTGTATGCTTTATATTAACATTAAACTAACATTCAAAAAATTATATGAATCCAGTTTTAAACTCATTAAACAGTTTATGGTTCCTAATTTATGCATTAAATTTTTAAATGAAGGTACAAAATGTTCTTGGTGCTTGAAGATGAGATGAATGAAATCAATGCTCTGATTATTGGCAAATCAGGTGAAAAAGTTGGCATGGCCTGTACAGATTTGGTCTTCAATCAAAGATTAGCAGATCAAAAACAGTTGCCAAGTGAGTTTCTCAGACTTATAGGCTAGAGAAAAAAATTTCACCTCCGGTTTGGAAGCAGAAGAAATTCGTTAAACTCAAATTATTTCCTCATCTACAACGTTTCTGAAGACCTGAGCATCCAGCCAACAACTCCACAGTCCATTAGCAGAGAAATTGCAATCTCTTCTACAACGATTTCATCTTCCACTGCACCTATTGAGACAACTGGGAAATCACACAAAAGAAAAGGAGAACTAGTTAGAAGAGAACTTTTTACAGCTTCTGAAAAAAGGTTATACTCTTCATAACATTATTTTTAACTGCATCTCAAATTGATCTCAATCTAATCTAAATCTACTTTTCTGATGTTTTTAATATCTTTAACGCAATGAAACAGAAGAGATCTCTGAAGCAGATGTGCAAGATTTCGATCAAGTTCCGATTAAGCTGTTGGAAAAAAAAAAAAAAATTCTCCCTAACTAGCTCTAAAACGTCCTGCTGCACAGAAAAAAAAACTAGGGGACTTTATTTTCCTACTGCTTCTTCCATACTATAAATATATTCATGTCCAAAGCTTATTCCATGTGTATTAACATTTGCTTTTCTTTTCTTTTCTTTTTTTCCAATTATCCAAATATTTTATCTACAGTGACTGCTCTAAGGAATAAACTTGTGTTGGTGTACAGAGGATATTATCATCTGTTGTCCAAAACAGAAGAGTGTTGACTAATATTTTTTGCCTGTAAATAGTCCTTGCTAACATGAATTCCCCATTTTTTGGTGTACATAAACAATCTGCTGTTTTGAAACATTTTATCTTCAAATGGTGATACCAATCAGCAACTAGGGTGGTTATCAAAGGGGAATATCAGGATAACCACTTTTGTATGTGGATGACAGAACAGTTGAAAATGCCTTGTATGTATGTTGTATAAATTTAGACAACTCTGTAAAAATATTTGCTATATTTTCTATCCGGTGTTTATTTGAATCTCTGCGTATTTATATGTTAATGTCATAATCTATAATTATATTTTCGCTGCCGCAACAACGTGCGGGTAAAGTTTACTAGTGTAGACTATTTGCTAACTATGAATATGAATTTGGTATTGCACAACCTTCTTAGCAAAGTCATACATTTGATACTTTTTGGTAATTGCAAGATCTTACCACTTCGCTACTTTGTAAATGATTTTAGTGTATAAAGCTTTACTGCTACGGAAAACAATAACATACATAATTTCAAAAACTTACAAGTATTACTATGGTGCTTTTCTAAGTATTGTCAATAAGCCATGGTCGGTAGATTCGGCCATTTAGCGTCCAAACTCCGTATCGGTACGTCCGTACCGATACTTTGACGGTTCGGTTGTGAATTCGGTGTCTATAACCAGATTAGACAAAACTTGAACAAAGAACTGAAAAAAGGGACCTGGGTCACTGTAAAATTTGCCGATGTCGTCCTTGTAGTTGTCGGGGAGACTTTCTGAAGAACAGGGGTGACTTGCTCACCCCCCTCGAGAAGAGCATCATACTGGGCAGGTTCCTATTCGTCCTTGTGTTTGTTGGTGAAGGAGAAAAAGGAGAGGTCGGGGAAAGAGAAGAAAGGGGAGAGAGAGGAGGGAGGGACAGAGAACTGGAATGCGACACTGAGAATCGAGAAGAAATAACAAAGGGAAAGGAAAGGAAACGTCTGCAAATAAATTAATTATTTGTTTAATGAATATTTAATAAAAAATATTAAAGAGATAAATGATGATTACGTGAAGAAATAACCAAGGGAAGTGATAAGTCTTTGGTATCCGAGTCATTTTAATTTTAATTCCTATCTAGAAGAAATAACAAAGGGAAAGGAAAGGAAACGTCTACAAATAAATTAATTATTTATTTAATGAATATTTAATAAAAAATATTAAAGAGATAAATGATGATTACGTGAAGAAAATAACCAAGGGAAGTGATAAGTCTTCCAATGAAATGTTCACGTGAAGAAATAACAAGGGAAAGGAATGGTGCCGTAGTAAATTAATTTTAAATGTATTATTATCAATATTTTTATATACAAACAAATTTAAACCAAATCGTATTGTTTATGCCTACTCTCTGACGAATAATATTTTATGTTATTAATCACCTGTGTTCTTTTATTGATGGATTGTAGAGACTAGATTTACTGGGAATGAGCAAAGTAGTTTTAACATCTAGGCAAAATTATATCTAATGATTTAACATCTAGACAAAGTTAAATCTATATGATAAAAACACGAGCGGTACAATAATTATGCAAGAGAATTAATATAAGAACTGGTTTAAATTAATTTTTTCAGTATCTATGTACAAACGTGGATATTTACAAAGTGAATTTGTCAATTCTTCAGGCTACAACATTGAAGAGTTTGGTTTAGTCATGTCATTAGAAGGATTGTAAACAAGAACTGTGACATGTGAAGGCCTCTTCGGTGCATGGAATGGTGATGCCGCCCATCGGATGAGTGAATCCAAACTTTTCCTCACTGCAACGTAACAAGTCTTGGAACCACTGGTGGTTCAAGTATGATATAGGAACTACAAATCTCCTTTTCTGTTCCTCTCCGACATAAACAGCAAAGTGGCCTTTTGGGACATTCGTTGAAGCCATGCTCGATTGCTTAGACGTCAAGATAGATCGCCGGATGATCCATAGCAAGCTCAGACCCATGGTTTCTGTGGAATATTGTTATGCTTAAGACTTGAGGAGATATTGGATGAGAAAAAGTTGTGACAAAGGAAGAGGATGTGAGGACTTGGGGTGATGGATTTGTGTAGGTTCGTTGATAAATGGATGGCATATGTAAGAGGGTAGATGCTTCTGTCCTCTTACTAATTTTCTAAAAGTTGATTAGCCAATTAATCAGTTGTAAAAAGGTTGCAACTTGCAAAATCATGCCCTACTCTGTAAGGACTTCCATGGACGTTGGTCCCAGACCAATTAATCATGCGGTGCCGTATGAGACATGACATTGTATTATTGTCCCGGAATTGCCATTGTGGTATCCCAGAGGGTGTACGTAAGTCCTTTTGCAAACCTATCCCTCACATTTCCATGTCAAATTCCACTGTCTTCTAGACTATGGATAAGTTTGATCTTTCATATATGGCCAATATATTGGGATATCAAACTTGACCAAATGAAAGGAGAACAAAAAAAGCAAAGAAAGAAGAAACCCATATCTTTCAATGCATTATATCACAGAAAGATATCATGCCAACTAGGTTGGTTCTGTGCTTCCATCAACCTTACCATCCACTTCAGTTTTGGCCCGACTTTATATCATATTTTAGTCACAATACACCACACATGGGGTGATGATCTTGTTCCTTGTTCGATCGACAAATTCAAAAACCTGGGACTGAATGGAGAACTTCTATTTGCTAGAAAAATACCCACAGTTTGATCACCCTATTAAGCCTCTAGTTCCTGAGTTCTCTAGGTAATGCGTTGCATTCAGCACGTGGTACATAGGAAATGTATTAAATTCTGCAACCATAATGTGTTCATTGATGGTAGGCCATGAAATAACTTTTAAGCAGTATGAAATCTGTCAAGTCTCATACCATTAGTTAGCAGACAAAACCATGTGATTTCTCATGATATATATCGTAAGACAAATCCTAATAATATAAAGGGTTCACTCAGGTACCTAAAGTTTCCATTTGTATACCCAGTTGATTTAGGTGTTAAACTCGTGCGTAGAACTTGTCCTTGCAAAACCGGCTCACAAGGAAAAGGGTGCCTATATATCCTCACATATACACTGCATATACTCATTTGCTTATATGCTCCTATACTGCAGGTCCGTTTCCGTTTGTGAATGCTTCTCTATATATGAAGCATTTCTCGACCGTAAGTATTTTTCTGGAAGCAGTTTTGTTAGAAGCGTAACAATTAAAAAACCAAGTGCTGAAGCATCTGGCATTGCAAGTGTGTTTCCATGTTTGTGTTGCTCAGGTTGGTGTATGTGCAGTGATGGGATGAGAATGATGAGTAGTAGGGCATGCTTCATGTGACTTTCAAGAAGCTTGGTTTGCAACTTGATGAATCTAGAACTAAAGACAGTTTTCTATGTTTTTGTTCGTAATTCCATGACTTCGGACATGTGCCGCCTCCTCCAACAATCTGCTAAATATCTTCACAAATAAGTCTCTTAAACTTTCTTTCATATTTACCAAACAATATACTTGCTTTTATATTCAAAATCACTTAGGTCTTGTTTGGTGTGTGGAAATGGAATTGATCAGATAACTCCCCAGATTCCATGTATCTTGAATAAAGAAGTCGTACGTCATTCTCCTATTTGTAATATATGAAGATAGATGACTGACTAGATATGAAGAAAACATTTCCCTTCCATTTTGAGGGGGTTGGAAAGGCGAAGTTTTATTTATTGTTAATCCAGCTTGTACCTTTAACTAGGACAAAAATTGAAGGTTAACATCCACTTCTTCATTCAAGATACATCTAGGGACTTATCCAATCCATTTCAATCCTAAAAGCCTAAGCACTACTGTTTGGAAGAAAAAGCACCTCTTGATCTAACTATTATCACTAGTACAAAAAACACTTTGCGCGACGCAGGTCCTTCGTCGCGCAAAGTCAAACATTATAATTAAAGGGTGGAGCTAATCATTATTTCAAACATTATAATTAAAGGGTGGAGCTAAGTATATGGTGATGTTCAGAAGAGAAAGGAACATAATTATCTGGGCCCGAGGCGACTGCAAGGGAATCCAAAGCGCGCGTGTTCAAGAGTAGCTAGGGTTTTTTCAAATGACAGATGCAGCTGCTACACCAGCTTATATTCTAGCTGTTGTTAGGTTTTGACACAAGTGTGTACTTGTACGTGTTGGTCCGCGCGCCTTCACTAGTCCCAACTACCAGGTCCTGCTTTCGAATCCCCGAAGTGTCCAGTAGTGTTTCTGTTTTCTGTTTTATTGGGTTTTATTTTATTTTCTTTCTTATTTTATTTTCTTTCTTGTTTTCTTTTTCCTTTTCTTTTCTTTCTTGTTTTCTGTTTTATTTTATTTTATTTTCTTGTTTCTCTTTCCTATTTTGTTTGCTTAGGGTATTTTCTTTATTTTTGATATTTGTTTTACATTTTCTAGGATTTAGTAGTTTTGTTTCTGATCTTGTCTCTTCTATTTATTTTCCACACTTTGAGGACAAAGTGTGAAATAAGTTTGGGGGTAGGAAATAACATTTTAGGTTTTTAATTTTTGTGTCAAGTTAATTTTTGTGCCCTAAAGCCCTAGTGGTTTGGGAGTCATTGACCTAAAGCTCGCTACATGGGTTGGATTGAAAGCTTAAGTGAACCGACATTGCACGACCACTACTGTTACTGAAAAAAAAGAAAAAAAAAAAGATCAAGAAGAAAAAGAAAAATAGTTATATTTAAAGTTTGTATGTATGAAATAAAGAAGGACAAGAGGTAAGGGTTTTAGTCGAGTCTCCTTAGCTATGTTGATTCACTTTACACCAAAGGAAGTTCGTGAATTCTTTTCTAATTGATTCTAAATGGAGTGCTTTCTCGGTCTTCCTTTGTTGAATGCATGGGTTGATCTTGGTGATTCCACATGCTTACTCTTGAACTGGGCTGGAGGATTCTTTTTGGTCTCCTCCACTCGTTGATTTTCCTTTGTGCTACTCTTGAACTGGGCTGGAGGATTCTTTTTGGTCTCCTCCACTCGTTGATTTTCCTTTGTGCTACTCTTGAACTGAGCAGCAGGATTCTTTTGGTCTCCCCCGAAGGTCTGAGCTTCCTCCTTTTTTTTCTGTTTCTTTGTTCAATCTCTCCAATTCGTATTGAAGAGGGTTAGAGGATAGCTCAGCATATGCAGTTGTAGCTTGTCTCCACATGCTTCAATGTATCATTTTCACTTGCCTTACTTGCTCCCCTTTGCAGAAGTGGTCCCTTCTCTGGAAGTGTATCAACCGTTGAAGATGACTACTCGAGAGCAACGCTAGGTAAGCAATCAGGGAAGGGATTCCAGGCAGTTGGTTCCAGATCGGAAGACTGACTCCAAGTGCCGGCTGATTGCTTCTTTCACTTTGCCATGCGAGTAAGAACAAGGACAAAGAAAAGGACAGGGAAAGAGCATGATATGAGATACTTTTGCTTTTGACCTTGATGATATGAGATACCTTTGCTTTTGAAGAAGCGGTGAATGAATCAGCACATGCTTCCATCTACCATTTCCTCCTGGGTCATCTGTACTCCAGGCATCTGGTATCATCTTTTGGGAAGAAGAAAAAATTGAGTATTTCGAAAGGCTTTGCTGGGAGTGCGCCCTCAGAGGTGAGAAAGAGTTGGGCATTTTCTTCAGGTCTGCCTTGCCATAAAAGATGAAGGTCGACATATATAGGGATTTCAATAGCAAGTGGTGGTACTGTTCTTTTACCGTTGTCGACAAACGTTTTGATCCCGCAAATCCGGCTTTTTGAAATAGTGACGACTCTTCGATCTTTGAATGCGCCTCTTCGATTTCTGAGCAGGCTCCCCTTCGATTTCTGAGCGATGCCCCTTCGCTTTCTGAACGACACGTAGTAGTGCGGATGCGGCTCTGTCAGAGATCTTTTGACAAGTGGCATGCGTTTTCTGCAAAGCCGGGAGCTTTCGACAAAGTTACACACGCTTTCTGAAAAGCCGGGATTGCGTCTGACGAGCTGGCGATCTTTACGCCGGAAGTTCCGGTTTTGAAGAGTGGTGTCTCTTTATTTCTGAATCGGTGAACGCCTCTCCTTTAATAGAGGTGATCGATCACCTCTAGCATGCACACTTGAAAATTGCCCAGAAATCGTCTGCGGCCCGTCGGGATTTCACTCCATCCAACCCTTCTCTTTTAACTTCTTGAAAAATGGCTAGCTCATCTAACCCATCGAACATTTGCTTAGATTTGAGTCTAAGCAATGATCATGCTGCGCCGCGTCAGGATAAGGCATGGTGCCCGTCTTTCTTATCTTCTCATGGCCCTCTTACAGATGAGGACTCTGTGATGACGGATGCAACAACGGCTACGATAGTAGCTCGGAACCTCCTCACTCCCAAAGATAGTCAGCTGCTTTCGGGACGGTCCGATGAGTTGGCCGTTCAAGAGTCCCTGGCTCTCAGTGTTCAGTGCGCTGGCTCTGTGTCCAACATGGGGCAACGCCTACTTGCTCGCTCCCGTCAGGTTGAATCCTTGATGGCGGAGGTGGAGAGTCTTAAGCAGGAGATCAAACAGCTTAAGTACGAGAACCGAAGTTTGCACGTGCTTGCCAACAATTATTCAACAGGCATGAAGAGGAAGCTTGATGAGCTTGATGACCGTCAAAGGCTTGCGGCTTTCTTCCAGAGGCACCTATTTCCTGGGTCTTCCAGCGTTCCACCAAGGTTTGGGGCCTTGAATGATCTATCTTCGGTGCCTCCCGCTCCTATGCCTCCTGCTCCGATGACTTCCGCTCCGATGCCTTCTGCTCCGAGAGTTTCGCCACGTAGTGGGTCTTCACGTACACAACCCTTGTGAAGGCTCCATCTTTCTGCCATGTTTTTTTTTTTTTTTTTTTTTTTTTTTTTTTTTTTGTAAACTATCGGAAATCAATGAATAATTTAAAAGTAACCATTTGTGAACAAACATAAGTAAATACATAGAACTCTGAATAATTTAGCACCACGTCGCGCAAAAGAGCTTTGCGTGACGCACGTCCACTACGTCGCGCAAAGCTCTTTTGCGCGACGCTGTATACGTCACGCAAAGATATTTTGCGCGACGTAACTGCACGTGCGTCACGCAAAGATCTTTTGTACGAAACTAGTTTCAATGATCCAACCGTCAAACTTGTTTGTATATGCTTCAAGATCGCATACACCAAAAATAGGAAAAAAAAAACATTTAGCGATCAAGTAACGCGACAAAACTTTTCGACAGTTATAAATGAAAAATAACGATTTAACGGTAGTTTTAACTCCGATTTTGATGATTTTTTACAGCTACACTCCTTGACCCTATATGAATACAATGAACTAATTCGATCATCAATTTAAAGTATTTACACAAGTGGATACCACAAAATCTTATGTTATAGTTAATGAAAGTATTAATAAACTCTAAGTGTTAGTAAATCTACCATTTTAAAGGGAAACACATTGTACGAAACTAGTTTCAACGATCCATCCGTCAAACTTGTTTGTATATGCTTCGAGATCGCATACGCCAAAAATAGGAAAAAAAAACATTTAGAGATCAAGTAATGCGACAAAACTTTTCGACGGTTATAAATGAAAAATAACGATTTAACGGTAGTTTTAACTCCGATTTTGATGATTTTTTACAGCTACACTCCTTGACCCTATATGAATACAATGAACTAATTCGATCATCAATTTAAAGTATTTACACAAGTGGATACCACAAAATCTTATGTTATAGTTAATGAAAGTATTAATAAACTCTAAGTGTTAGTAAATCTACCATTTTGATGGGAAACACATTGTACGAAACTAGTTTCAACGATCCAACCGTCAAACTTGTTTGTATATGCTTCGAGATCGCATACGCCAAAAATAGGAAAAAAAAAACATTTAGAGATCAAGTAACGTGACAAAACTTTTCGACGGTTATAAATGAAAAATAACGATTTAACGGTAGTTTTAACTCCAATTTTGATGATTTTTTACAGCTACACTCCTTGACCCTATATGAATACAATGAACTAATTCGATCATCAATTTAAAGTATTTACACAAGTGGATACCACAAAATCTTATGTTATAGTTAATGAAAGTATTAATAAACTCCAAGTGTTAGTAAATCTACCATTTTGATGGGAAACACATTGTACGAAACTAGTTTCAACGATCCAACCGTCAAACTTGTTTGTATATGCTTCGAGATCGCATACGCCAAAAATAGGAAAAAAAAACATTTAGCGATCAAGTAACGCGACAAAACTTTTCGACGGTTATAAATGAAAAATAACGATTTAACGGTAGTTTTAACTCCGATTTTGATGATTTTTTATAGCTACACTCCTTGACCCTATATGAATACAATGAACTAATTCGATCATCAATTTAAAGTATTTACACAAGTGGATACCACAAAATCTTATGTTATAGTTAATAAAAGTATTAATAAACTCTAAGTGTTAGTAAATCTACCATTTTAAAGGGAAACACATTGTACGGAACTAGTTTCAACAATCCATCCGTCAAACTTGTTTGTATATACTTCGAGATCGCATACGCCAAAAATAGGAAAAAAAAACATTTAGAGATCAAGTAACGCGACAAAACTTTTCGACGGTTATAAATGAAAAATAACGATTTAACAGTAGTTTTAACTCCGATTTTGATGATTTTTTACAGCTACACTCCTTGACCCTATATGAATATAATGAACTAATTCGATCGTCAATTTAAAGTATTTATACTCGGGGAAAGTATTTTTACCGCTTTTTCTGTTGACTTTGCGTGACGTAGGGCTGCGTGAGTCGCGCAAAACAGCTTTGCGCGACGCACGTGCACATACGTTGCGCAAAGCTGTTTTGCGCGATGCCATATACGTCACGCAAAGATGTTTTGCGCGACGTAAGTGCACGTGCGTCGCGCAAAGCTGTTTTGCGCGACTCACGCAGCCCTGCGTCACGCAAAGTCAACAGAAAAAGCGGTAAAACTTACTTTCTTTAGCGCCAAAATCTTGCGGGACATACAAAACGTCGCGCAAATGGCGTTTGCGCGACTGCACTTTGCGCGACGAAGATTGGCGTCGCGCAATACTGTTTTGCGCGACGTAAGGGCACTTACGTCGCGCAATACTGTTTTGTGCGACGCCAATCTTCGTCGCGCAAAGTGCAGTCGCGCAAACGCCATTTGCGCGACGTTTTGTGTTTAACGTCACGCAAACATACTTTGCGCGACGCATTTAGCTGCGTCGCGCAAGTTTTCGTCGTGCAAACATGTTTTTGTACTAGTGTATTGCATCCGACACCAACAGTTGATAGGTAAGAGAATTTCTTCTATAATTTGATTCTTGTCGGCATTAACTGTTCTCAATGGAGCCACACTAATTGACTAGTTGCCCATGGTTTGCTTGCAGCAACACCATCTCCTATTTAGTGCTTTTGCTATAAGGTGTCATATCAGATAGCTAGATGTCTCAATCAGGTCTCCAATCTTAAGTTTATATATTTTTGTAAATGAGGTAGGGCAAATATGTTCTCTGGAACGTACAGCCTTACAAGTTTGGCCAATATCAAATGAAGTCCACATAACGATAGAGGACAGACCAAACCATGTGAATTGTCTTAAGAGGACAGCTCCATTCACTTCTTTAATAGAGAATTTAACTCATAGCCTTTTTCATATATATAAACTCACTTGGTTTCACAAGCAACACAAGTCTCACATTCTTCACCATTTTATCCACTTCTATAGTTCTGCAATTTCTTTGAAATCTTTTTCTTATTCTTCCTCTAGACAAATAAAAAAACCATGGGTTTCCATTTGCGCGGAAAGAAAAATCATCGACACTCAACAATGAACCGGGATGCTTCAAAAGCCAACATTATTCCGAAGGGCTATTTTGCGGTCTATGTTGGGGAAAGTCAAAGGAAGCGGTTTGTGATTCCGATATCATACTTGAACGAGCCTTCATTCCAAGACTTGCTAAGTCAGGCTGAAGAGGAATTTGGATATGATCATCCTATGGGTGGAATCACAATCCCTTGCAGTGAAGACAGATTCCTTCGCCTCATTTCTAGCTCCAGTGGATGAGATCATGAGAGTGGATGCTAACGTTTTGACATCAAGGACAGCTGCAAGATAACTTCTTGACATCAATTTTTTGCCGAAAAGGAGGTTCTTTTTGCTGAAGTGGAGGAGAAGCGGAGGTTAACAATATGGACTTGAGTACAGCTACGTAGCAGATATTCAGAAGGATATGCCTACCATTACCAATGTATCTGAAATTTCGGATTTTCTGGTCCATATTTTTTTTACCCGGAACTCACTAATCAGAAAGAGCTGGGATTATGAGCCAACCATGATTGTATAAGAGACACAGCAACTGTAGTAAACTTCATCTTAATCAGACTGATTGAATTTTTCTTCCCTTTCCATTGATGTTTCGCTTTAATGCCTATTTCTCACATATTTATTTTATGGATGCCCAGAAATACAAACCAATATTGATCTAGATAACTCATTTAATTGTTGACTACTTATATACTAAAAGATACTTTTGGGGATCAAATTAACCCAGCTTATGTTTCTCTTAGCCAAAAGTATACAAACTCACAATCTTTTATTTATTTTTGCCGAGCCTTAACAAGCAACTGAAAAGCAATAAAATGTAAGTACAAGATACAGATGGTTACATACAAGAGCAATACTGTCAGCTCTGCTGGATTCCACCATGTCTGATTCTTCACCGGTCTCAGAATATCTTCAATTTCTGCTAGAGTCGTCTCATCGTAGCCATTGGTCCCAAGCTGCACAGCAGCAGCAACATTTTCCTTAACCTGATTACTTAAATGATCATGTAAAACTTAAGACAGAAGAATGATCTTTATAAACGTAGACAATTTCCAACATAATAAAAAAAAAAAAAAAAGGGGTTTTGTATGTGATGCCTATGTGACAGGAGTGAATATAGGTAATTCATTTACTTGACATGATCATGTGTTAATTCCAGTAAAAAACCAAAGAGCCGGGTGAAATCTAATGTCCTTAACTCTTCAATCCTAATAGAATGTGTAAGTTATTTTCCTTGGTTTTCATTGCCTACCTCTAAAAAGTAGCAGCCTCCTAATGTACCGTCATCTTAGGCAATGGAAATCAAGGAACAAAAATCAACCGGTACAATATCACATGATGATATCAGTAACTTGTAGTCCCATATTCCTCTTAGCCTCTATAGCTACCCCCAGAAGCAATATAAGTTAGCTAATTAAATGAGAGACAATTCAAAGGATGTGTAAATCATATATAAAACTTGGTGAGCTGGCTAGCTAGGGGTGCCTCTTCATATATATATATATACACACACACACACACACACACCACCAAAATGTAGTAATATAATTAATTAGAGTAAAGCTAGGTAGACAAAAAGACTAAAATTGCAAACTAAAGATGTGTCACCAATAAAAATAAGCATGTTAATCAAAACTTAAATAATAATTCAACCATCAACTTTCATGCTATTTAGTTTACAAAATTTAGTCTACAGATTTAGTCACCCTAGCAATACCAGTTAAGTATATCGCCAGAAGCTGTGTCACTAGTGGATTATGAGGACTAGATTATTGTAGTCTATACAAATGTTTCCTAGTTGTCTCTGCAGTCTGTGAATAAGAACCCTAAAAATCACTATTTAGCTAAAATACATACAATAGGCAAGGAACTAATGAACGAGAGCTAATATAAAGAAATATTAAAGTTAAATTATTTTCTCAGTATCAGAATACAATGGGGATATTTACAATGGGCGTATTGTCAACCCTTCAGGAAACAAAATTGAAGAGTTTTGTTTAGTGATGTTGGCCATGACATTAGAAGGAATGCAAACAAGAACTGCGACCAGTGACGGCCTCTTCAGTGCACGGAATAGTGATGCCACCCATCGGATGAGTGAATCCAAACTTTTCTTCACTGCAGCTTAGCAAGTCTTTGAACCACTAGTGGTTCAAGTATGATATTGGTACTACAAGTCTCTTTTTCTGTTCCTCTCCCACATATACAGCAAAGTGGCCTTTGGGGACATTCGCTGTACTCATCCTCGATTGCTTACCCGTCAAGAAAGATCGCCCGATGATTGATAGAAACCCATGTTTTATGTGGAATATTGATATGCCTTCAATAATTGAGAGATTTTTAATGAGAAATTTAAGTGATAATAGAGGATGTGAAAACTTGGGGTGAAGATTTGTGTATCTACTTTGCAGCATATATAGGGATGGAAATAATACGGATGATATATAGTAATCAGATTCTTCTGTCCTCTCACTAATTTATCAAAAGTTGATCGGTCAATTAATCTGATGTATAAAGGTAGCAAGTTGCAAAATCATGCCTACCCAACCCTACCCTACCCTACCCTACCCCTCGCATTTCTCTGTCAAACCCTAATTCAAATGTCTTGTAGACTAAAGTACCTGATCTTCTTGGATAAGCCTAATCTTCCATGTATGGCCAATAAATCATAATACGCAGGGTGTGAAAATCGCTTCCCTTCGCATATCAAACTTGACTAAATGGAGAGAAGAAAAAAACAAGAAAAGAAAAAAGAAAACTGTATCTTGTGTATCTACATATCAAAGAAAGATATCATGTCAGCTTATGTTGGTTCTGTGCTTCCCATCAACCTTACCATCAACTTCAATTCTGGCCCCAAGTTTAATCGCCATGTTTTTGTCACAGTACACATCACATGGGGCGATAACCTAGCTTGTTCCTTGTCCGGTTGACATTTCGAAAAACCGGGGCTGAGAACTTCTGTTTGCTGGAAGCAATTATCTATCTTATTAGAGTCCCTAGTTCCTGTGTTCTCTAGGTTATATGTTGTATTCAGCTGGTGGTATATACAAAGTGGAATAATTTCTGCAGCCAGTATGTGTTCATTGGTAGTAGGCCATGATATATCACATAATTGTGAAGTTGAATGAAGTCTGTCATGTCTTATATCATTAGTTGTGAGACAACGCCATGTGATTCCTCATGAAATATGTCCAGAAACAAATCCGAATAATACATGGATAACATTCAGGTACTCTAAAGTAAAGTTTCCGTATGGATTCTCTGTGGATTTCGGTGTTAAATTCACGGTTAGAACCTATCCTTACAAAACCATCTTAGCGAAATGGTACCTATATGTTCAAACCACCGAGAGAAATTGGAACTATGCTAACATAGCCCCGTGGTGTTAATCTACCCGCCTTCAACATACATTCAAGCTCCAAGTGACAGAAAACGAGACAAGTGGTGTAGAGCTAACAAGTTAAAAGTATTGTAAACATGCTAAAACGTAGCCTGTCTTGAGATTTTAGGGGGCTTTATTTATGAGGGCCCTATGCAAACGCTCCACCTACATCGCCCCATGGCCGGCCTTGTGCAAACATTCCACCTGCATCGCCCAAGGCCGGCCCTGTGTTGAAACATTTCTATACACAAAGCATTACTAGTATTTACTATTTTTTGTTTAACTTTGTAGGATTTTTATTTTATTTTCTTTGTTTTTGAATTTGTATCATGATATCATCTATAGGCTACTTTGGTTTTATCTAAATGAGGTAGGGCAAGATGCTTGTCTGGAAGGTTACAGGTTTGGCCAATACCAGATGAAAGGCCACAAAAACAAAAAAGTGGACAGACCAAACCATGTGAATCCTCATGGCCAATATCCTACCCTTTTCATCTATATAAACTCAATTGGTTACACAACCAACACAAGTCTCACATTAGTTCTTCACCATTTATCCACTTCCATTGTTCTACAATTTCTTTGCACTCTTTTGCTTGTTCTTCCTCTAGACCACCATGGGTTTTCGTTTGCCCGGAAAGAAAAATCATCGACACTCGATCTCAAACCAGGCTGCTTCAAGAGCCGTCGATGTTCCCAAGGGCTACTTTGCAGTCTATGTTGGGAAAAGCCAAAGAAAGCGGTTTGTGATTCCGATATCATACTTGAACAACCCTTCATTCCAAGACTTGCTGAGTCAGGCTGAAGAAGAATTTGGATATGATCATCCAATGGGTGGAATCACAATCCCTTGCAGTGAAGACAGATTCCTTCACCTCATTACTAACTCCAGTGGATGCTAACATACAGTTTTGACATCAAGGACAGCTGAATGATAACTTCTTGACATCGATTTTTGCCAAAGCGGAGGAGAGCCGGAGGCTAACAATATGGATTTAAGTACAGCTAGGGTAACAGATATTCAGAAGGATGCTTACCCATGTATCCGAAATTCGGATTTTTCTAATCCATATTTTTTTTGTCCGGGGACCTCTCTAAATAAGTGACAACATTATGAGCCCATTATTAATGTATGAAACATAACTACTGTTGTAAACTTCATCTTAATCAGATTTATTGAATTTTTCTTCCTTTTCCATTGATGTTTATTGTTTATCTTTAACCTGTTTTTCTCACAAATAATGGATGCACAGAAACACAATCATCGATCTACATAAATGATAATTTGAGTGTTGACTACTTATACTGAAACATACTTTTGGGGATCTAATTAATCTGGCTCATGATTCTCTTAGCCTCTACATCTCACCCAAATGACAAATTCACAATCTTTTATTTATTTTTGACAAACCTTAACAGGCGACTGAAAAGCAATTAAAATAAGTACAGGATACAGATGGTTGCATACAAGAGAAAAGTTGTCAGCTCTGCTGGATTCCGCTAGGCCATGTCTGATTCTTCACCGGTTTCAGAATAGCTTCAACCTCTGCTAGAGTTTTCTCATTCTTGCCAATAGTCGCGAGCTCCACAGCAGCAGTGACATTTTCCTCAACCTGATTATTTAAACAATCATGTAGAACTTAAGACGGATGAATGATCTTTATGAACGTAGGCATTTTATAACATAATAAAAAGGGTTTTCTATGTGACGTCAATGTGACAGGACCAAGTAGGTATTCATTTACTTGACATGATCACGAGTTTGTGCTACTAAAACTATAGAGCCCGGTGGAATCTATATTCCCCGACTCTAAAATCTGAACAGAATGAGCAAGTTAAATGCAAATGATGGATGGGAACCTGTATAATAGAGTTCATGCCGACCAGCACTGATGAGATATCCTTATTGGACAAGCTGTATTGCAGAGCTAACTTTGAAATATTATTCCCTCTCTCTTTACAATAGACAGCAGCGGCTCGGCAGGCAGACTGTAAGAACATAAAACACATTAAATCAGTTATGATTTCCAAATCACATTAAAGAAGACAGGATTGCATGAATATAGCACCAGCTGGAATTCATGCATCGAGAATGTTAACCTTCAGTTCAGCAGATGCGGGGTGCCATTCTGGAGGACCACTCTCAGTAAGCAGACCCATTGCAAGTGGAGAAGCACTAATGATTCCAACACCTTTGCTCTTGAGGTATGGTAGTAGCTCCTCCAATGTTGAATCATTAATACCGTAGTGGCAATATGACAGGACCACGTCCACTGTGCCAGCTGGTACGCGATCAAGAACATATGTGAAAATTCCCAATGGAAGTCCTGTGATACCAATGAAACGAATCTTCCCTGCTTCTTTCAGTTTCTTTAGGGCAGGGATTGTCTCGTTTACAATCTGTTAACCAAAATAAACGGGAACACACAAGCTTGATCATTACGACGTATCAATTGAGATGATATTTCCTAACAGACAGGAAGGGAAAAAAAGAACAACTCTACATGTCACACTGTGAATTAAAGCAAACAAACCAACATAAATTGCAAAATGCAAACAAGAAATGCCAAAGCACCTGGTCCAGAGACCCAAATTCAATGTCATGGCATTGCAGTATATCGACGTAATCTAGCTGCAATCTCTCCAAGCTCTCATCAATGCTCTTAGTCACTCTATCAGCACTGAAATCAAAACCGTCAGCATAGCGTCCACACTTGGTTGCCACAACGTACTCACTTCTCGGCACACCTAGAGCTTTTAGCGTTTTACCAAGCACCTGTTCTGACAAAGTCCCTCCATAATACCTAAAAATTTGGAAGAAAAAGGGTAAAATGGACATATAAAAAGTTCTATGACTTCTGCCTTAGAACAAATACAAGACCATAGTTGATCATCAATTTTTAATGTCTATTTACATCTCATCTCTCCAACCAAACAGGTTTTTCTGGATCACAAACAATGGGAACTCTAAAAGAATCAAAATTTTCCTTTTGATCATCAGTCATATTAATCCCAACTCTGCATTTTCTCAGCAACCAAACGGAAGCATCAGAAAAGTAATTCCCTTTAAATTCCAGATAATCATCTCCAACCAAACACCCCATTACAATTTACAAAGTTTCAATCTTTCTGGCTGCATTATAAATTAAGTTTACTCTTTAATCTAATCATGAGAAAACATGCTCAATTTTACGAAAATTTCCTTAAATTCCTCAAATTTTCTTGGTATCCATACAGAACAAGAATAAGGATTACCCACAAAACTTAAAACTTGAGAGAGAATCAAAAGTTACATACGGAGAGGTGTCAAAGAAGTTGATGCCTCGGCGGAAGGCTTCGCGAACAGAGCCGATGGCTTCGTCATCGGAGACGGGACCGAAGACGTTGCCGAGAGGGGAGGCACCGAAGCCGACGCAGCTGAGCTTGAGGCCTGTATTGCCAAGCTCTCGGAGTTCAACCTTTGGCAGCGGTTGTGAAGCCATTGTTTTGTTGTTCTGTTCGATGTTGTTGTAGAGAGGTTTGATTCAAGAATGCTGGGAAGCACCGAAGTGGAAGTGAAGTGAGAATACGTCCCAATCGGGTAAAATAAATGAAAACTGAAATTTATGTTTTTTGCATTCCCACTTTTTTTTTTTTTTTTTTTTTTTTTTGAACGAATTTTACATTCCCACTTGGAAAATAAAATTTTCACGATGAAACCGTTTAATATTTTAATTATCATTGAACAATATTCTTAAAAAAAATTATTCGAATTAAAAATTGTTTGTATCAAATAAATGAATGGTTTATTATTTATATGTTACTTGATACTTATATGGTTGATTTATTTGATATGATACATTTGGATGATTAAATGATCTCCGATTTGAATGACTTTTTACAAGGGTGATCTTCAAATTGAACTCATGAGTTCAATATATTAAACTCATGAGTGTGATACTTAGAAAATAATAGGTTCTAAAGTATGACTTTCACAGTTATTGAATTTAATAATAGTATAACAGTAGTGTATTACGTATTAAAATCAGGCTGCCTGATTCTTATGTATAGGTATAACACTCACTCAAACTAGTTTGAAATGCCTTTAGTACTACGATCCAATAGAATTTAATTTTATTCGTAAATGAAAGGTCTAAGATTTGAAACTTGTAAATGATGATTTCAAAACTAATTTATTGACCCCATATCTTAATGTCAATATATCATTATGGAAAAAAATACAAAGCGATACTAAATTAAATTAGCATAAATGCTAAAACTTCTTGCTATTAGCGCTTCAAAATACTCTACTTTGCCTTCTCTATTCGCCCGAGCCAAACTAGAAAAATCAGGTCATTTGAAAGCCAACTGAGCTGGAACTCAAAAAAATTTAAATCATGCTTCAGCTCTAGGAGCTTTGTTCGAGGTTGTGCTGAGCTTCAGCTCAAATAATATTAATCGAGCCGACCTTAAACACCTTGGTATTCGACTTCACTCAGTTCATAATATGTGATCATGAAACAGAGATTAAGTGGAACATAATTAATTGGGTGATAGAGTTATATAAACACCTGTTTATTCATATTTTGGACATTATCCCTCCATGGAACAATATACTATCTATTGCGAAGCTTGGAAGAATTGAAAGTTTAGATCAAAACATTATGTATGGATGGTATGAACTGCCTAAACAAGAATTCTTGAACAATGAACAACCAGAGCTATTACTCACTGCATCAAAAAAAAGAAAAAAAAAATCAAATAGGGCACAAGTATCTTCATTCATATATTTGACTTAGTAAACTTTTAAACGTAATTTTTCTTAGACCAAGATTTGACCTGTTAGGTTTGTAACGTTCATTTCATCTTTCGTAAAAACAAAATATTTCTCGAAGAGAGTGAGTGACCAAAACTTATCAAACGTTTGCTATTCAATTGTGTGGTTAGCAAGAAATGAGAGAGAGAGAGAGAGAGAGAGAGAGAGAGAGTTTGTTGATAACGAAATTTTGGTCCTCTTGGTCATGCATAAATTTGGTCTAAGGTTAGAGATGATGTACTTGTACAGCTTGAAAACCTACAAAATATGATCACAAAGAAATGTGCTATAGTCGATTGACACGATTTGTACAACTAAATTGCAGGAAACTTGTGCAACAAATTAGGTAGGAAACTTCCCTCTGCAAAGATACTTCCATTGAATTTTTGTCCTCCCTTGCCAACATGCAACGCTTCACCGCTTTCATTTTTGTTTGCTAGTAAAGGCATATCTTATTGGAGTAGGATTATCTCCCCTTCTATTCTCATCATCTTCCCTTCCATCCTTTCACACTTTACTTTTTGTCTTATTGTCTTTATAAAAAAATCAATATAAGATGTTGATGTGGCTTAACCGTAACCATTCAAGTAGGAGGGGAGAGAAGAAGAGAGATTATGAGGGAAGAGAATCCTCCTTCTTTGTCTCCTATCTTATTTACTATGTTGGTATATAACACCCCTCCCCTCCCCCAAAAAAGAGAACAAGAGAGCATGTAGTTATTAATTCATATGTTTCATAACTTAATTTAGCCGATTACCCCTTATTTGAATTTGGGTCTTGAACCGAAATAGGTGAACCGAGATGATCATGTGAATCAAGTCATAATGAAGGCTACAACACCACTCCAACATGTTGCTAAAAAAGCAAGACCATTGAGAAGATGCGTAGTTGCACACATTAGGAATAAAGTCCAAACAAAAAGGTGTACAAAGTGAACTAGTGAAAGAGAAGAAGAAGAAGAAGAAAAAAATAAATATATATATGTTGTCCACATTAGGGATAAAATTACGTTTTTGCATTCAAACAATTGCCATGTG